ATTTGCATAAAAACACTCCCAAATGATCTTCACTCTCAGCAAATGTATCATGCTCTCTAAAGACGTGCTCACATTTTTTCATACGTTTACAATAAAATTAAGGAATTTATAAAACACGATTTGTTTATGAACATTTGCAAGAAGATTTACACTATACACACTATACACAAAGGTTAGTAAATGAGAATATTTGTTTAAAAAAACAATGCATTTTAAACATGATTTATATTGATATGAGTTCTAGCGAGTCAGTGTAAAGGCAGAAATGCTGAAGAGTGTTGTGAAAAGGAGGAAAATACCCTTTTTTATTAAACATTTTGATTCCAGGCTTTTTGTAGTTGACTCAGACTCCCAACTCCCACCGCATGAGCCGAAGGAATAGAGTCCTCGACTCCATATTTAACTATATTTAATCTATATCGACTCCATTTACTTTACATCACAACAGGGTCAGGATTAATACAAGATTGCATTTGTTAAACACTTAACTGATTTATTTTCCCTCAACACTAAGCCTTAGTGTTCCCTTGTGTGTTCAACCGCACACTTTTGATTTAATGACTTAATTGATGCGCTATGAACATTGGCAGCTTTTGTGAAACCTAATTTTACAGAGGGAAACGTCACGAAAAACAGCTGTGATTGAATATAAATAAACAAGAAAGAAGGTATTCTAGTTTAATGAATCTTCTTATAATAGTCGGGTGATGGCGCTAAACACTCATGATCATTGTGTTAAAAGGTTGGCCAGGAGAGGTAAAGATATTAAAAATGAATTCAATACATACAAAAATACTTACAACAATGTACACTTATGTGCTTATTCTTGATGATATTTTTTTTATGATTTATGGTTATTTTAATGATTATGAACACAAGGTTTCCATGGGAAACCAAATGTATGTTTATTGCGTTCATATAACATCAATTAAACTAACTATTACATGGAAGTATGTTTAAAACTCAAGTACTATTGGCTTTTCTATGTCTACAATATAAGTATAAGTGATTTCAGATAGCCTAACAATAATCGATTCCTATACTGGAGTCGACCCCATTTGTACTGACTTTATATGAAATTGTAATAAAGCTGTGGTCGTAGAGTATCAGATTCAGAGAGGAAAAGCTCTATTTTAGACATGTACTCACCTCAGTTTACAGCTTGAGCCTTGTATCACGTCAATTAGCTGCTTCCCTGAGTCATCTATCTTATTATTCGTCAGATCAAGCTCTTTTAAAAACTGCAGTGCTTGTGTTTTAGACAAAGACTGAGTTAAAGCAGAAACATCTGTAATGCCACAGCCCTTTAGGCTAGACAGAGACAAACAGACAGAAAAAGAGAGATCCTCTTACTTTGACCAGATCACAAACATCTGAGATATTCAGTAGGGATGCACCGAAATGGTTATTGAGGGTCTAAATGAGTGACTGAAACAGACGTTTAATTAGCACTTCTCTAATGCCACGCTTTGTGTTCAGAGTATATTTCATGCACACAATGTGGATAAGATACAACAGTTCAACATGTCAGCTGTGTGGACACTAGCTCTGGATTGAAAATGGTATTTATTTTTATTTTTCATTTTAATCAGTAATGATATGGTTTCCTAGATCTAAAATCTTTGAGTCTGTGCTGTTTAAATGCTTGAACAAAACTTTTGTATTTAACTTGTTTGTATTTGTAGCATGCCTGTCATCCAATAATGGCAAAAAGCTTTGTTACATTTACTACGAAGAAAAGTCTCAACTTTAAAATACTGTCGATTTTATTACAAAATTCCAAAATTAAATGATGGCACTCATTAATGCACCATGACGGATCGCTGTAGAGCCTCAGTTCAAGCGGAGATCAAGTGCACATAACTGGTCATCTTCTCTTTACTATTAGTTACAGCACAAACTAAACATGGGTGAACACCAGAAGATATGTTGAATGATACATTACAACTTTATTCAAATTAATCCTGTCTCATGTAATCCTTCAGTGTTTCAACCCGGGTAAAGACGTCACTAAAACAGCTTGGCTAGACTAAACATTTAATGTTACTTTTACCTTAAGAAAGCTGTTCAATGTCCATAAACTCATAAACTTAAAGAACTCTAGAGAAGATTTATTTTTACTTAAACTATATAATGAAGACATCATAAAAACAGGTTATGTTTGAATAAATATGTCATGAAAACAAGTTATTACCATTAATTGTTGTTTAAATGTTAATATTTCACTAACAAACTGGAGCAGAAACTATTCTGTTATTAAAAAGTTGATTTAAAACTCGCCTTAGGTGCAATTTAAACATTTGTACAACTCAGATTTACCTTGTTTGTATAACTCAATTTTATATATTTGAGTGTTGGTTATTAATAAAGTTTGATTAATTAATTGATTATATTTTTCTAATTTATGTCTGTTTCATTTTTGGGCTAAGAGCATCCTGAATTTTTTATTTCAGTTTTGACACAGAATTTTCAGTTCAGTGCATAAATAATATTAAGTGTATACTACAGTTACAAGTTACAGTATACAAGTGTCTTAGTTTAAAGTGTTGTAGGTGAATATTACCCACCTCAATCTCTCCAGTGTACAGTGTGAATCCTTCAGTATGTCACATAAGTGCTTCACTCCTTTGTTTTCTAGTTTATTCCTACTGAGTTCCAGCTCTCTCAAGTGTGAAAGGTTTGAACACAAAGATGAACTCAAACTGAGACACTGTTTCTCTGTAATACTGCATCCACACAGACTGAAGACAGAAAGAGAAGACAATGAGCCAGATTCAGTAAAATGCATTTTTAAACAGACAGACAAAAGAAGTATATGTTTCATCAGATGTGTGTTAGATTAAGAGATCACGAACAAATAATAAATGAATAATTATAATACATTAATTTGAAAAATTAAATATTTTTACATTACATTTAAAAACACTATTTTCCTAATTTAAATGTGAGAAAGTCATGAATCATGAAGTGTCATTTACAATCCTTTGTTAATTTGGTAAGTTAGCATTAAACAACCATTTTCTTAAAAATTTTATCACTGAATTATGGCATATTTCAGAGTTAAACTATGGAACGAAAAAAAAAAAAAAACGAATGCCATCTTGTGTCTTCCACCATACTTGGGACAGATTACTTGATTATTTTAGTCTGTTGTTGATTGGATGGAATAAATTAAAAAATTAAAATTGTATACTGCAATGGAGGCGTCTCTGAATGCAATTGGGCTTAATGGAAGTGAAGTGTATGGATTTAAGGTGCGTTCCATTCCACCGGAATGTGGACTTCCCAGGCTATTTCGCCATCTTTAGTGAGATTCCAATTAGAAGGGAACAAACATGTTCAGTTCGAAGGGCACTGCAAACGGCATAGGGAATAAGGGAACATCGATACATCACTTCACAGGAAGACAGTGAAGTCCATTTCAAATGATAAACCGTGTTCAGGGAGTAGGGAGCAGTGAACACTGTGTAGGGACCCTGTCGAATGGAACGCACCTATATTGTATAGTCATTTACGTCAAGTGAGCATATCTCAGAAAGTTTAATCAAAAGATTACAAGGGCAAATTACTTTTCGGTTAACCAACAACAAGTGCAGTAATATGCACTAAAAAAATGAACGTTTTGTATTACATTTTTTCCAACTTTAAACTAAATACTGAATAACACTGTATCTGCTGTAAAGTATATTGTAACTTACTCTAGTTTCTCCAGCTTGCATGACTTTATCATCAGTAGATCACTGAGGTTATTCACTCCAGAGTCTCCTAGTTTATTCTCACTGAGGTCCAGCTCTCTCAGGTGTGATGGGTTTAGTTTCAGAGCTGAAGTCACATCAGAACAACCTTCATCTGTCATTTTACAGTCTCTTAACCTATATTGAGAGAAATGTGACATTCAGATATTGACACTATTTTCCCCAGGCTTTGGTTTAAACTATATAAATGATCTGTTTAATCATTTTTAGCATAGACTTTAAGCCTATTAATGTTCCTCACCTTAATCTCTCCAGTTTACAGTGTGAATCCTTCAGTATGTCACATAAGTGCTTCACTCCTGTGTTTCTAATTTTATTTCCACTGAGGTCCAGCTCTCTCAGGTGTGATGGGTTTGATTTCAGAGCTGGAGTCAGGATCAGACACTGTTTCTCTGTAATACTGCATCCACACAGACTGAAGACAAAAAAAGGCTGCATTTACACTGTGAGTCTTAATGCACAGATCCAATCATTTGACCATATCTGTTTTTTTGGCCACCTGTTTACATTCACTTCAGACAGGACTGGACTCCAATATCTGTGTTTACATTAATTAAATGCAAACAAATGTGTCGTACCAGAGACAAATCTGTGTCGTACTTCATTAATGTTATTATCCTTTTAATATTACTTCCTATAATAGTAATACACACATCAGATTTTTAAAATACTTTTTTACAATGTAAAACCTACTTGATAACTAATCAATTTCATTGCGATCATAAATATAAATACATTTCAGTACAAGTGAAATAATTTGTGTAGCTTGACGTCACTAGTTTCCACACTAGTTTAGCTTTGGGTAAAAGCTTGATTCATTACATTTTATTGTGGCTCAGTGAAAGGGAATAAGACTCCCTCAGAGAAAATGTATGACTTAGTATGGTCATCTAAATACATATTTTAAACCATGTAAAATACTCACATCAGTGTGTTGAGTTGACAGTGTTTATCCTGCAGTAGAGCAGCGATCTGATTAACTTGTGTGTCTCCTAGTTTATTTTCACTCAGATTCAGCTCTCTCTGGAGTAACAGGTTTTTACCCATAACTCTATTCACATACTGACAGGCTTCATCTGCAGCAGCACCCAAAAACCTGCAGAATCAATTCAGTTATGACACATTTATGGTATAATGGAAACTAAAGAACATATTTATTAAAACCTCTTGAAATCATTTAAACATACAGTATGTAGAAATATCTATATGCTTGCATATAATATGTGCCATTTCATCACTCCTCACCTCAATGTTTTCAGTGAATTGTATCGATCCTGTAGTAAATCATCGAGCTGCTTCACTCCTGATTCTCCAGGATCATTTCCTGTGAGATCCAGCTCTATCAGGTGTGAAGGATTTGATCTCAGAGCTGAAGCCAGAGCTTTATAGCCTTCTTCTGTGATACTGCAGTCTGAAAGTCTACAGAAGAGATATTTAAAAAAAATTGATAACTGAATATGGAGACAAAAGACCTAGAGACATTTAATATGTTATATTATCAACTCACCTGAGTTTCTTTAGTTTACAGTTCTCCTTCAGTCCATCAGAGAGCAGCTTTGCTCTTGAATCCTGCAGATTATTATTGCTCAGGTCAAGATCCTCCAAACTACTGGAGTTTGAACTGAGAACTGAAGCCAGAGCTGAACAGCTTTCCTCTGTTAGATAACAATTACTGAGTCTAGAAAAATAATTATAATAATTATAATAAAGCATTTGTGCAAAACATTTGCACATAAAGCATTTTCACAACCAAATAGTAATATTGATGTGATTGCTGTGGTGTTGTGTAGCTGATGGTGAAATGTACTCACTTCAGTATCTTCAGCGTTGATTTCTTCAGTCCCTCACAGATCTCTTTGACTCCTGAGTCCAGCAGACGGCTGTTGTTCAGGTTCATCTCTTTCAGGATGGTTTTGGAGGAGAGAACAGTAACAAGAACTGAACAGTTTTTCTCTGTCAGCTCACAGTTATTCAGCCTAAACACAAAATAAGCATCATTTATTATTCAGCACATTTTCAACACACATTAGATCACCAGGTCTTAATATCTGCTATCACATCATGTGACTGACAGTCTTTTATAATAGATAAACAAAACGCAATTATAATGTATATAATCATGTTCACTCACTTGATTTTCTCCACTTTGCTATGCGAGTCCATTAAAAGAGCAGAGAGCTTCTCTCCATCTAGATCTCCGAGTTTATCTCCACTCAGATCCAGTTCTGTCAGTATTAATGGACTTTTACCCAGAACTTCAGTGAGATACTGACACGCTTCCTCTGCGGCAGGACTTTTCAAAAGCCTAAACAAAGTAGATTATCATTTTATCTCACATAATCTTAAAATGTAATGCCTTTTGCAGCCCCCTTCCTCTTTAATGAGCCCAGTTAATTTACATAGCGAGTGGTTAGTGCAAGATTCTCATTTCGTTTCTTTTGGATAACATTTTTAAATTCTAGCAACATTCTTTTTATATTTTATTTATATAACCAGAAACTAACATTTAAAAAAAAAAAAAAAAAAAAAACTAGACGCATTTTTTTTGTTTGTTTTTTTAAAGTAAACAGACATTACTAAATTATTAATTGAATAATTGTTGTTAGATGTGTGTGTATATGTATATATATATAGAGGGAATGCGCATGCCGTCACCGTCGGCCGGAGTGCCTGCAGTTCCTCACAGTGAGTGGCAAAAAGACTGAGCGGCTGTATGTGTTCAGCGTGAATGCCACAAAAAACAAACACAACACACACAAATAAAGTGGGAAAGAGCTTTGCGATTGACTGTAGGCCTACAACTAGATTTGACAAAACATCGGAGGTATATTTTTACAGACTGCTATAGAAAGAGGAGCAAATGGATCGCTCCAATTCACAGAAACAACTGGACTCCAGTCAGCCAAAGGTGGATTTGCAGTTATCATTTTGTGTCAAAAATGCTGAATTTAGCTGGAAAACCATACCCATATATATTATAGTATAACAGCTCATCAATTAAATATTTATCACTGCATTTTCTGCATTATTGGATGTTTTTTTTAATAAACACGGACCAAAAAACTTATAAAGTTTTAGGGCTGGACGATACGATAACACTGATATAAGTGATCACCCGGATTTAGACCTACCTATATAATTATATAAAGCGTTCACAGGCAAATTTGCTTTATGTTTAGGTCTTGCTTTTATTTCCCCGGTGTCGAAATCAGGCCAACATAAATGTCAGGCAACACGATTCCCGGCTGCATGTCAATATCCATGGATCACTGGATATTTAGTAAGTTGTAAGGAACACTATATTGAGTCCAACATTTAGTTTAAATTGATAAAATTGTTCGATTTAGTCGCATTTCCGCAGTTTTCCCCTATTAAATCCAGTCACGCAGCAGATCTTTTGCCACTCGGTCAGGCTGAGGGGGGTTGTCACGCGGGAAAGTCACGTGTCAATGCATTCCCTCTATAGACAATATTTTGCACAGAAATACTATAATAAAATCTAAATGTTAAGATATTTATTCTACATTATTTTAAATATGCATCACATGTGTATAAAATATTACATTTTATGCTATTTCAAAGGGACGGACAGTGTTTACGGTAAAAGAAAGTGCTCACGGAAGAGATGGTAAAAGAATACACAGATTCAATTTGTGCACTTAAAGTATGGTAACTGATTAAACCAATGAGATGATGGTTTATGGAAAAAAACACATGTTCCTTCCCAAATTAATTGGAAAGTTAAATGGAAAGTTTGTTTTTTTTAATTTGTGATTTTAACCCTAAAATGCATTCAATGCTTAAAGGGTTAATACATATTTAAAGATTATTTAAATCACCTGATGATCTTTAATTTATAGTGTTCATTGAAACTACTCCACTTTATAATTTTAAGACACTCACCTCAGTGTTAGTTTACAGTTGGGTTTTTGTGCTACATCACAGAGCTGCTTGACTCCTGATTGTCCAGGATCATTTCCTGTGAGATCCAGCTCTATCAGATGTGAAGGGGTTGATCTCAGAGCTGAAGCCAGAGCTTTATAACCTTCTTCTCTGATACTGCAGTCTGAAAGTCTGTAAAACAAAAATAAGCTGTTTATTCTTTGTTTTGACAGAGATTAGCTTATAAATACATTCTGACAAACAACTTGCAATATTTTAATAAATGATGTAAATATGGTTTAGTTAGTTACATAATTTATTGTGATTTATAAAATAAGTGACGTGAAAAGTCAAACTGTCAAAAGAGTGAAATTGAGATGAAAAGAGTAAAACTGAAATGTAAGCCAGTTTTCATTTTCAGTTATTCTAAAATTAATGATAAAAGAGCCATTTACAAATGCATATTAACGTTCAGAAAGGAGGATGCATAAAAATACACACTTGAGTTTCTCTAATCTGCATTGTGGATTTTTTAACAGAGGACAGATCTTCTCCATTCCAGAGTTTTCTAGTTTATTTCCTCTCAGATCCAGCTCTATCAGGTTTGAAGGGTTTGAATTAAACGCTGAAGTCAGAGCAGCACAACCAACTTCTGTAATACTGTTATTATTCAGCCTGCAGAGAAACAAAACAAAGACAGAAAGATTCTTCAGTTTGTTTTAGCCACAACAACTACAATTACAATACTATACATCTCTGATTGTTTAACTAATCATTTGTACAGTATGCAAACAACATATAAAAGTGAATTTTGCATCGGATGACCCCTTTAAAAAGGGCTGGAGAGTGTGACATATACTGTATGTTGCACATACAAAGCAAAGTTGTGTGTTATGTCTAATTTACTTTGAGCAGATCTGATCATCAGTCAATCAGGACACAGGTCGTTTATCAATCTCAAATTCGGTACTTAATCTTATAGTTTGAGTTTCCCAATATTAATCTTTTATAAAACAAAGAAAGATTTTATTCTGACACATTGCATGATTGAAAAAAGAGCGCGCAAGCATTTATAGAGGCTATAGTATGTGAAATGCAGAAAACAGTATATTACACAGTCCTTTAAGGGGAACGTAACGTTCGTTTATGTTGTTGCTGTTGAAACTGTCTATATAAAAATGTAAAAATACTCACTTCAGTGTGTTGATTTTACAGTGTTTATCCTTTAGTAGAGCAGAGATCTGATTCACTCCTGTGTCTCCAAGTTTACGGCCACTCAGATTCAGCTCTCTCAGGAGTAACGGGTTTTCACCCACAATTCCTCTCACATACTGACAGGCTTTATCTGCATCAGCACCCAAAAACCTGCAGAGGGGAAGATGAATCAAGTTGAATTCAATTCACTACTAAATATCGAATTCTGATGAAAAAAAAAGTGTAAAATGTTTTTTTCTTGAAATTATTTTGATCCAACAGACACAATATGAAAGATTGTTTCGCCACCAGGTCGCTAACCTCTTACAATAACAAAGGCATATATTGATGACGTGTATATTCCGCATTAAGCGGAATTATGGATCTTGTCGTCAAGCTAATGGATCTTTTATGGATGAGTGAAGACATTGATGTTTGTAACATGACTGTAGTATGAAGCAAGGAGCGATTGCTAGACGTATACCAGCGCCACACGCAACGCGAGTCCCGCGGATATAGAGGAATAAGGACATTTCATTCTCCCGAACTACACACAAGTGCTTAATACTCACACAGGTCAGTTTATTAGAGGAATTAAACTTGAGGTAACGGTAACAGTTTCACTATCACACTAAACGGCATTTGAGTGTGTTGAAAGTTGTTAGTTAGGTTGTTTGTTGACTGAATGAGACTAAGCTAGATTAATATTAGAGAATAACATGCAGATCATATTTAACTTTATCACGTTGAACTACATAGCGTTCTGATTAGTTTTATATACATTTGCTCACCTGTCTAATAAAGTACATGCAACACTCGCGTCTCTGTCAAGTCGAAGTTAGTCGTGGACGTGGCGCTCTCGGCATCTCGAAAGATGTTGTTCTTTGTTTTAGTCCTCTTTTTGTCTCAAAGTCTGCTTGCCATGGTCCATAATGTTTAAACAAAACTCTGCTAGGGACGCTCACGCTGTTGAGCACGCATAACGGGCATAACCGACCCAGTTGTCCACGTCTGTCGCCATGGTTACTATTGTGTCTGAGGTGAAACCTGGCGGAAACCGGGGATAACGGGGATATGACGTCATTGACTGGAGACTCCTCACCCCTGCTCACACGCCCCGTTTCCTTGGTTAAAATCGCAATTTTCTCATGACTTACAAATAGTTGCAAACATTTGGGATATTGTAATCAACTAAACAAAATATATAACATTGGCCTAGTGATTTTTGGATATTTTACTGCAAAAATCCTGCATTTTGTACCTTTAAGTTAAAGGGGTGTAAGACTGGAAAAACTGGTTGAAGAGATAGACCTGACCATTGGTCTATGAGACAAAGGACCTTGCTGGAAATTAACATTTTACTTCCCCCCTCTTCCCCTGAGACCTAAGTCTCACCTAATCTACATTTCTTTCTCTCTCTCAGGGAAACCTTAAACCATTATAACAATAGATATGGTTCAATGTGAATGATTATGATTGAGTATTGTGTTTACTATCACTTAAAATGTCTCAGAGTGAGCCCTTATTTCTTGATGCCCTATCGGCAATTACTATAAATGAAATACAGGTTACAACTGGTGAAATTCACGTTTCTTCTTTAATCAGAAGTATCTGCATAAAAGCATGAACAGCAGCCTAACTCTAACTGCCTAACTGAACTAGTGAATTTTATGGTTACAGATATAATCCAGTGTGGAAAAAAATATTTTCCGTGGTCAACTTTCGATGCTGACCAACAGCTGGTGCAAGGAGGCTCCAGAACAGATTAAAATAGTCAACCCCTTTGTGATGGGTAACAGCATTTTGCACTAAACTAAAGAAAAGATACAATGTTGACAGCTTTAGTCTCAGAGGAGTGTCATGGGAAATGTTAGTGTTAGTTTGCAAACAATAATTTTAATTTAGTGATGTCTGCCCACAGATCTGTTCTTTATCATACAGACTTTATCAAAGAATTTGCTGACTTTCTGTCTGAGTTTGTACTGGCTGCAGATAAAGTCCTAATTGTTATACATGTAGATAATGAAAAAGATGCATTGGGATTGGCATTTAAAAGACCGTCTTAACTCTATTGGAGTTAGACAACACGTGTCAGGACCCTACACATTGCCGTGATCATACTCTAGATCTAATACTATCACATAGAATAGATGTTGATGGCGTTGAAATTATACAGCAGAGTGATGACATCTCAGATCATTATCTAATCGTGTAAACTTAATTTAGCCAAGGCTGCAAAGCCGACTGTGTTACAAATATGTTAGACCTATCACTTTTGCCAGTTTGTTCACATTTCATGGACGATTGTGTACAGAGAGGCCTTACAAGTTGCTAGATCTGCTTATTTTCAACCCTATAAGAAAAAAATAAACAAAACCCTAGGTATTTATTTGAAACTGTTGCTAAAGTAATGAAAAATAAAGCTTCAACCCCAAACGTTTCCAAGCAGCACAGCAGTAATGACTTCATGAACCTCTTTACTTACTAGACTGATAATATCGGGGAGAAAATTCTAATAATGCAACGGTCTACTACAGTATTGCATCAGGGAATACATTGCAGTCTCCCTGAGGAAAATGTGTATTCATTCATTGCTATAGGAGTAGAAGAATTTTCTAAACTTGTATCATCTAAATCAACAACATATATGTTTGACCCTACATCAACTAATGCCTTGTTCACACTACATGATTTTAAAACGTCGAGCTGAACTGTGCGGTTCACACTACATGACTTGCTCTCAGTGAAATCTGGAGTATTTAAGTTGTTAACTGTTCACACCACACAACACAACGTGATTGATCCACAACAGGAGGTAACTCACTACACGAGTTGACAACGCACTGCATAGAGATACAACCACGATCGGATGATAAGAGCAAATCATTTGCGAGCTGTTTCAGTACTATGTTACGGTCTAAATCCTGAAAATAATCAAATAAATAACAAGTTGACAACAACTCTGTCACCCAACGATTCTATCTTGTCAACAAACCACGTTTTGTCACGAAAAAAACACGCAATAAATAAATAAATATTGCGCCAATACCCAGCGAAGAAGAGAACACAACACGTGAATATGGACGTCAGACAGAAACTAGTGCTGCACACTCTTTGCTCGACGATCTGCTCTGAGGGAAAAAATGCAAAAAAAGAGAGAAAAACGGAGATTTACCTGGTGTCCTCAACCCATGCGTTGCTATGATTGGCTGTACTCATGACATCACTGAGTTTGAGTCGCGCGACTGCTCTGGATATCTAGCAGGCTAGATATTTTTCTGGGCTCGGTGACGCGTCTGCGAGGCGTCTGCGAGCGTTTTCGCTGCATTGTTGGCTCTTTCATACTAACAGATTGGCAAGCGTTCATCGTCCGCTAATCTCCCGCGATTTGCACGCGATAACACCCTGACCTGTCGGCGACTCAACGATTTGCAAATCGGGCATAAATCGGGCTTAAAATCATGTAGTGTGAACTTGGCTTAAGCTAATGAAAGAGATGCTTCCAGAGGACATACAGTAGATCCTCTTCTCAATATCATTAATTCATCTTTGTCATTAGGATACGTAGCCTACCAAAAACCTTTAAAGATGAACTGAACTGAAAAATATCGACGTTGAAAACGTGTTGTTTATGACAATTAAAAGTAAATTACACTAAACATTTTTTTAAAATATATATTAATATAGCTTTTTTAAGCAACGCAAAATTGCGCTTGTTAGCGCTGGCAGTTCCGATGACGTCACTGGCATGGTAGGACCCGCGGAACGCCATAGACAACAGCTGTAGGTCCTGTATACACAGACGAAAATGAGCGCTTTTAACGGCATGGATTACGCATTTGAGCCCGTGAGGGACAGGCCGGTAGTGTCTAACTACCACCACATGGAGGACGATCAGTTTCAGGCTTCACTTGCAGTACAGGATCGTTTGGGGGAAAGTGACTGTGGGCGAGAGCGCTGTGGAGCATAGACACTGCACGGAGACGATCTGTTGCAGAGAGGTCAACATGGACATTTATTGATCGACGAAAAATGCATCACCATGCACCGTTCATTTCGGATGCTGTTCGGTGAGAGAAACGTGTTGAAGGAGGCTATGCTGTCTCTAATGGATGTCCGAGCTGAGACGCTGGACCGCCCCATAAGTAGCAGGGTATTTTAGGAATAGGTGACGGCTGGGCTAACTTGTTAGACTTTTCTTAGATTGTTTAGATTAACAGCTTACTGGCAGTTCACTCTATGGGCGAGGGTGCATTTAAGAAGGAGAATCCCATCCTTTACAGTGAACTATACATCAGGGATCTTTTCCCCCTCACCCGAATATCAAGGATTCGAGTAAACTTAACGTGATGCATTGAACTTGTAACTTGTGTAAATAAAACATTTCGTGCATTGTCAGACGTTTCATGTACTCATTGACGAAAGTACACATCTCTAAATAGTGTGTCGCTAAAAAATCTGTTTCCTCAGCCATGTCAGCTAGCCTCAGACTGTTTACAAGCTACGGCTGTTCTGCTGGTGCGGGTAGGCAACGGAGTGGCTTACCATGCCAGTGACGTAGTCGAACGTTGAAATCCAACATGGCGGCGCCCGTGTAACAAAAACAACACTTTCAATGTACCATTTTATCCCTTTTAACAAATTATGCCTTTTTAAAAATTGTACCAATGAGAATAAATAAAATACATCTGTTATATCACCTTTTCTCAAATTTCAGTTCAGTTCATCTTTAAGCTGGCCACTATTAAACCGCTCTTCAAAAAAAAAAACACAACTTGATCCTAAAGAATTAACAATATCCTAGAAAAGGCATTATCGATGGAAGTGAATCAAAGAATCATTAGCTGGACAATAACTTTATTCTAGAGATGCTGTAAAGCCAAACCAATCTCTGTTACTTTAATTTCCTATTATCACTGTAAAGCTGCTTTGAAACAATCTATATTGTTAAAAGCGCTATATAAATGAAGGTGACTTGACTATAAATAATTCTCCTAGATATACTTTTTATATTATTTTATCACATCTCACCTCAGTGTCTTCAGTTGACAGTTTGGATCCTGTAGTAAATCATCGAGCTGCTTCACTCCTGATTCTCCAGGATCATTTCCTGTGAGATCCAGCTCTATCAGGTGTGAAGGGTTTGAACTCAGAGCTGAAGCCAGAGCTTTATAACCTTCTTCTGTGATACTGCAGTCGGAGAGTCTACAGAAAAGAGATTTCAATCAATCATTGATCACTGAATATAGATGAAAAATGTGTACCCTGTGTTAGACAAAATTTAGTCTGAACTGAGAACTGAAGCCAGAGCTGAAAAGCTTTTCTTAGTTAGATCACACTTACTGATTCTGGAATAATAATAATAATAATAATTATTATTATTATTATTATAAAGCATCAATGAAGACATGATGGAACTTTTGCACATAATTAAATAGTAATATTGCTGTGATTGCTGTGGTGTTGTTTAGTGTAGCTGATGGTGAAAAATACTCACTTCAGTATCTTCAGTGTTGATTTCTTCAGTCCCTCACAGATCTCTTTGACTCCTGAGTCCAGCAGACGGCTGTCGTTCAGGTTCATCTCTCTCAGGACGGTTTTGGAGGAGAGAACATTAGCGAGAACTGAACAGCTTTTCTCTGTCTGCTCACAATTATTCAGCCTAAACACAAAAACAGCATTATTTATTATTCAACACACATCAGATCAACAGGTCTTCATATTAGGGTTGCCGCGGTGAGGAAAATTTCCCACCGGTTAATCGACGTGTGACAACACCGGTAATCCCGGTGTCACCGTGGAGGGCAGGGCGGGGGGGTTAAATAGCTTTTAAATGCGTGCGCGTTATACTTTCACTTTCGAAATAAGCGTCAATTGCTTGAATGGACAAAAAAAACAACTCGCTGATAATAAAACTTTTATTTATAGACTTTTATTAGCATAACGAACAAATAAAAATAACCCTATGCATAGGCTGAAAAAAGTGAAAATCGGCAAAATGTGGGCCCAAACAAATAAGAACCATAAAACGTTTATTAACGAATAAGAAAATAAAATAGGCCTAAATAAATTACACAAAGTTTAAATGAGATAAAACCAATTAAAAAGAGACGAATATAAAATAAAAACTTCAAAACGGACCTTAGCCTACATAAATGACATACTTTCACTTTCGAAATAAGCGTCAATTGCAATTCAGCGTCAATTGCTAGAATGGACAAAAAAAACAACAAAAAAAAACAACAACTCGCTGACAATAAACTTTTATTTAGACAGCACTTTTATTAGAATAATAAACGAATAAAATATAGACAGAACTTTTATTAGCATAACGAACGAATAAAAATAACCCCATGCATAGGCTGAAAAAAGTGAAAATCGGCAAACTGTGGGCCCAAAAAAAATAAAACGTTTATTAACGAATAAGAAAACAAAATAGGCCTAAATAAATTAAACAAAGTTTAAATAAGATAAAACCAAATAAAAAGAGACGAATATAAAATAAAAACTTTAAAAAGGACCTTAGCCTACATAAATGACAGCACTCTAAAAAAAAGTAAAACACTATAAATTGGCATTTATTAACATTAATATATATTGGCCAAAATATTGCCAAACAGGCACTTTTGCATTGCGTTTTGACACCAAATCTTCCGCCATTATCTTGCTTTTCTGTAATTTGACTCGTTCTCGTCTCCACACGTGCTAAATGGAATCCTGATGCTTGCTGATCTGTGACGTGACAGCACGCGTTGCGCAGTTCATTTTTAATTATAATGCTCTCTTCAGAACTAAATAATTTAAAATTATTATTTTTAATCAATTCAAATAAATATTTTAGCAAAAACGAATACTTTAAAAAAAAAAGTCAAGACATCGCGGTGTCACGGTGGGAAAGTGATGTCACCGGTGATGGGGCTTAAAACCGGTAACACCGTCAACACCGTCTATCGCGGCAAGCCTACTTCATATCTGCTCAAACGGGACAGTCTTTTATAATGAATAAACAAAACAAATTTGTAATGTATAAAATCTTGTTGACCTACTTCATTTTTTCCACTTTGCTATGAGAGTCCATCAAAAGAGCAGAGAGCTTCTCTCCATCCAGATTTCCAAGTTTTTCTTCACTCAGATCCAGTTCTGTCAGTAATAATGGACTTGTACCCAGAACTCCAGAGAGATATTCACACGCTTCTCGTGCAGCAGGACTTTTCAAAAACCTAAACAAAGTAGATTATCATTTTATCTCACATAATCTTAAAATTGAATGTCTTATGTAACACTCTTCCTCTTTAATAGACCCAGTTAATTTACATAAAAGATATACAAAAGATAATATTTTAAAATATTGTCTATATATATATATATATATATATAAACACACAATATTTTTCACAGAAAAACTATAACAAAATGTAATGTTAAGATATGTTATTCCAAAATATTTTTTTTTATGTTTGTCACATTTGTATAAATTTAATTTCATGCTATTTCAATGGAACAGACAGTGTTTGCGGTAAAAGGAAGCACAGATTTAATTTGTACACTTAAAGTATGGTAACTGATTAAACACTTTTGCTGTGCTGTTAAACCAATGAGATTATGGCTTATGTCAAAAACACGTTCTGAGCTTTAGAAAGCCTCCGGTGCTGCTGAAGTTCAGTTACAGTAATGGGAGGTAGCTTCCAACACGCCAACATGCGCTGTGCGTGGTAGACCAATCACAACACACTGGGCCGTCTGACAAATCAGAGCAGAGCAGGCTCATGGAAAGGAGGGATTCAGAGATACTGATTCATCCAAAGAGTCATTTAAGAATTTTTTAAGAATGTGGTAATGTGCAATGTACAAGTGAAACTTGGAAAATTAGAATATCGTGCAAAAATGATAATTTTGATGATTATGTATTACAGATTATGAAAACCCCAAATTCAAAATCTCAGAAAATGCTAATATTACATGAAATCAATAAACATATGATTTTAAATACAGAAATGTTGGCCCTCTGAAAAGTATAATCATGCATATGTATATATATTTGATTTACTGAAATACATGAACTTATTGCACTTATTCTAATTTTTCGAGTTTCACCTGTATATTATGAGAAACTGTATCTGTTTTTTACTTGTGATGCATGTAACCTGTTGTACTTTTTTTTTTTTTGAGTGTCACTCAGAAAAAGAAAAACAGCTAAAAATGCCTTTAGGGCTTAAAGGGTTGATACATATTTAAAGATTTGAAGAACCTGATGGTCTTTAATTTATAGCGTTCATTTAAACTACTGCACTTTATAATTTTAAGACACTCACCTCAGTGTTAGTTTACAGTCGGGTATTTGTGCTACATCACAGAGCTCCTTGACTCCTGATTGTCCAGGATCATTTCCTGTGAGATCCAGCTCTATCAGGTGTGAAGGGGTTGATCTCAGAGCTGAAGCCAGAGCTTTATAACCTTCTTCTGTGATACTGCAGTCTGAAAGTCTGTAAAAGAAAAATAAGTTATTTATTCTTTGTTTGGACAGAGGTTAGCTAATAAATACATTCGGACAAACAAATTGGAACAACATTAAGTATATTTACATCATTTAATTATTTACATCATTTATTATGATATATAAAATAAATGACATGTGAAAAGTCAAACTGTCCAAAGAGTGAAACTGAAATTTAAGCCAGTTTTCATTTTTCAGTAATTCTGATAAAAAGACCATTTACAAATGCAGATTAACCTTCAGAAATGTTGATAAATAAAAATACACACTTAAATTTCTCTAATCTGCATTGTGGATTTTCCAACAGAGGACAGATCTTCTCCATTCCTGAGTTTCCTAGTTTATTCCCACTCAGATCCAGCTCTATCAGGTTTGAAGGGTTTGAATTAAACGCTGAAGTCAGAACAGCACAACCTTCTGCTGTAATACTGTTATTATTCAGCCTGAAGAGAAAGAAAACAAAGACAGGAAGATTCTTCAGTTTGTTTCAGCCACAACAACTACAATAACAAGAATATACATCTATGATTGTTCAACTAATCATAGCCCTGAAAAGCTTTAAAGAACAGCAATGACAGTATTGGTTTAGATTTAATGATTAGACTGAAAATGATTAGATACTTTGCAGAGTATTGTCATAAAAAGTTTCATCAATATCCAGTCTGACTGCATACGAGAGCAGTGTTGTGTGTTCAGTGTAATTTACTTTGAGCAGATCGGATCATCAGTCAATCCGGACACAACACATTTACATCCGTTCACATCAAGTGGTCTGTATAACGATTTCTGTTTCCCCGCAAAATATTTAAATTAGGTCTGTAATAGGCCTTTATCACAGAGTGTGAAACAACTCTCAGTTTATCCTGATCAGTGATAGTGCCCACATAGCATGGGATTTTTGTGATTTATTTATATACAATCGGTCTCAAATTCGGGACTTAATCTAATAGTTTGAGTTTCCCAACATTAATCTTATGTGATGAAACAAGGAAAAATGTTTTTCGGACACATTGCACGATTAAAAGAAGAGCATTTAAATAGGCTACTGTATGTGTAAAATGGCGAAAACAGTATATTACACAGTCCTTAAGGGGGACGGTTTCCCCCCCACTCTACCCTATTGCAGACACGCTGAAACATTTAAAACAGTTAACATTAAAAATACAATTCATAGTGTACCGTATTTCCTCTATTTTTTCTCTGGCAGTAGGTAACTTGAGCAGCTCTTTGTTTAGATCTCACTACAGATTTACACCGGCAGCGATGACAATGACCTCATTCAGACAATGTTGCACAATTAAAATGAAAGATGATAATGCATAAGAAAGATAATGCAGACTCTATTGTTATTGATTATTTGCGGAAGTCTACTGGAAGTTATGTTTGGGCCACGAAAGTGTGCATTTGCAGTAATATTTATTTATGTTGTTGCCGTTGAAAACATCTATGTAAAAATAGAAAATACTCACTGGAGTGTGTTGAGTTTACAGTGTTTATCCTGCAGAAGAGCAGCAATCTGATGTATTCCTGTGTCTCCAAGTTTACGTTCACTCAGATTCAGCTCTCTCTCGAGTAACGGGTTTTTACCCACAATTCCTATCACATACTGACAGGCTTTATCAGCAGCAGAACCCAAAAACCTGCAGAAGAGAAGATGAATCAAGTTGAATTCAATTCCCTTCTAAAGATTTCTTAATAAAAAACAACATTGAATTCTAATGAAAAAAGTTTTTTTCTTGAATTTATTTTGATCCAACAGACAAGTATTTAGTTAAATAATATTCCTATTAATAATTCACCTGGATATCATTTTTAATTATTTCCTCATGTCTCACCTCAGTGTCTTCAGTTGACAGTCTGGAACCTGTAGTAAATCATCGAGCTCCTTCACTCCTGATTGTCCAGGATCATTTCCTGTGAGATCCAGCTCTATCAGGTGTGAAGGGTTTGATCTCAGAGCTGAAGCCAGAGCTTTATAACCTTCTTCTGTGATACTGCAGTCGGAGAGTCTACAGAAAAGAGATTTTAATCAATCATTGATCACTGAATATAGATGAAAAATGTACCCAGTGTTAGACAAAATTTAATCTGAACTGAGAACTGAAGCCAGAGCTGAACAGCTTTTCTTAGTTAGATCTAGGGATGGGTACCGAAACCCGGTATTAAACGGGCCCCGGTACTGAATTTTGAAAGACCGCTGTATCGATAAGCTCGGACGTTACCGGTTCTGCTGTCGGTACTGGAGAAATTAAGTAAATACACGCAAGTTGGGCTACTGTATTTATTATTCCTATAAAGACGTTATCTCGAACATATTTAAATCACCAGCCATTTCTATATATAAACTATATTTTAATTAAACCATATGTCTGTGATGCAAATTTGCAATTCGCAGTTCAGAAGAGAGAAGAGAGAGAGAGCGATCTCTCACGCAAAGCCACAGCACGCGCAACACGACAGCCCTTGCTTAATGAGTGACAATGAGGACAGAACTAAACATCCAACGTGGTTACACTTTAGAGCTGGGGTATTATTCTAAAATTTTTTTTTGTATTTCGGCTTCCAAAGATTATAAAAAGAAGATATTTGAGATAAAACCGTTAAAAAACGAAACGATCTGTCCAGCTTAACTTCCTTTACTTCACAGCACTGCGGAGCGCTGTCAGTTCTTCCTAAAACCCAAACGTAACCGTCAGAATCAGCACGATCGGCGATTGTTTCAAAGTGCTGTCTTCTACTGATGCAAGATCAAGAAAATAGCTATTAAAAACACAAAAACCTGCGCAAGAGACGCTGTTCACAAGGCGGTGCACGCTCCGAAACGGACTGCAACGAGACAAGAAAAGTAACCTATATACTTGGGCTTTGTGCGTCCTTAACTATCAAATATACATACAAATGTCAAAATGACCAGCTCTGAGATTCACTTAAACACAGTTTATTCACTTAAACACAAGTATGTCTTAAACGGACGTAAATAATAGGGAGAAAATGATGGTGCATCAGTCCCCATTATCTGCACTCGGTCTTAAAGGGGCAGCAGTCTAATAGCCTAAACCTGCTGACGATTCAGCCATTAATGCAAATCAAACAACAAAAGGCAGAGAAAATCACTCACAGCCTTTGAATGAGTAACTTTAGATTTAATAAGCATTATTCTATCTATGATAAACTACAGTGCTATATTATATTTGATTAATAGGTTTCTTTTCAGACAGAAACAATTACCTGACAAGATATGCTAGTAGACCTTCCTGAAATTAAAGCACTTTGTATATAATTTGTGCCTTTGATTAATTGTATTCTTGTGTTTGTACTTGTTTTTTTTTCTTATGTGTCCTTTTTGTATTTAACAAAAAAAGCCTGCACATTGCTGCATAACAAAAATATATTTTTCTTCGTTTTGCTTTTTATATTTTACATTTCAAAATATAAAGTTTAATTATGTTCTTAATTCTTAAAAAAAAAAAAAAAAAAAAAAAAAAAAAAACACCAAAAAGAACCGATAAGAATACCGTTAAAGTACCGGATCGATAAGCGGTATCGGTAAGAGTAGTAATACCGATAAAACCTTAACGATACCCAACCCTAGTTAGATCACACTTACTGATTCTGGAATAATAATAATAATAATAATAATAATAATAATTATTATTATTATAAAGCATCAATGAAGACATGATGGAACTTTTGCACATAATTAAATAGTAATATTGCTGTGATTGCTGTGGTGTTGTTTAGTGTAGCTAATGGTTAAATGTACTCACTTCAGTATTTTCAGCGTTGATTTCTTCAGTCCCTCACAGATCTCTTTGACTCTTGAGTCCAGCAGACGGCTGTCGTTCAGGTTCATCTCTTTCAGGATGGTTTTGGAGGAGAGAACAGTAGCAAGAACCGAACAGCTTTTCTCTGTCAGCTCACATTTATTCAACCTAAACACAAAAACAGCATTATTTATTATTCAACACACATCAGATCAACAGGTCTTCATATCTGCTCAAACGTGACAGTCTTTAATAATGAATAAACAAAACAAATTTGTAATGTATAAAATCATGTTGACCTACTTCATTTTTTCCACTTTGCTATGAGAGTCCATTAAAAGAGCAGAGAGCTTCTCTCCATCCAGATTTCCAAGTTTATCTTCACTCACATCCAGTTCTGTCAGTAATAATGGACTTGTACCCAGAACTCCAGTGAGATATTCACACGCTTCTCGTGCAGCAGGACTTTTCAAAAATCTAAACAAAGTAGATTATCATTTTATCTCACATAATCTTAAAATTGAATGTCTTATGCAACACTCTTCCTCTTTAATAGACCAGTTAATTTACATAAAAGATATACAAAAGATGAATATTTTAAAATATTGTCTATATATATATATATATATATATATATATAAACACACACAATATTTTTCACAGAAAAACTATAACAAAATGTAATGTTAAGATATGTTATTCCAAAATATTTTTTTATGTTTGTCACATTTGTATAAAATAATTGATTTTATGCTATTTCAATGGAACAGACAGTGTTTGCAGTAAAAGGAATCACAGATTTAATTTGTACACTTAAAGTATGGTAACTGATTAAACACTTTTGCTGTGCTGTTAAACCAATGAGATTATGGCTTATGTCAAAAACACGTTCTGAGCTTTAGAAAGCCTCCGGTGCTGCTGAAGTTCAGTTATAGTAATGGGAGGTAGCTTCCAACACGCCAACATGCGCTGTGCGTGGTAGACCAATCACAACACACTGGGCCGTCTGACCAATCAGAGCAGAGCAGGCTCATGGAAAGGAGGGATTTAGAGATACTGATTCATCCAAAGATTCATTTAAGAATTTTTTAAGAATGTGGTAATGTGCAATGTACAAGTGAAACTTGGAAAATTAGAATTTCGTGCAAAAATGATAATTTTGGATGATTATGTATTACAGATTATGAAAACCCCAAATTCAAAATCTCAGAAAATGCAAATATTACATGAAATCAATAAACAAATGATTTTAAATACAGAAATGTTGGCCCTCTGAAAAGTATAATCACGCATATGTATATATATTTGAATATTTGAATTACTGAAATACATGAACTTATTGCACTTATTCTAATTTTTCGAGTTTCACCTGTATATTATGAGAAACTGTATCTGTTTTTTTACTTGTGATGCATGTAACCTGTTGTACTTTTTTTTTTTTTTTTACTTTTGAGTGTCACTCAGAAAAAGAAAAACAGCTAAAAATGCCTTCAGGGCTTAAAGGGTTAATACATATTTAAAGATTTGAAGCACCTGATGGTCTTTAATTTATAGCGTTCATTTAAACTACTGCACTTTATAATTTTAAGAAACTCACATCAGTGTTAGTTTACAGTCGGGTTTTTGTGCTACATCACAGAGCTGCTTGACTCCTGATTGTCCAGGATCATTTCCTGTGAGATCCAGCTCTATCAGGTGTGAAGGGTTTGATCTCAGAGCTGAAGCCAGAGCTTTATAACCTTCTTCTGTGATACTGCAGTCTGAAAGTCTGTAAAAGAAAAATAAGTTATTTATTCTTTGTTTGGACAGAGGTTAGCTAATAAATACATTCGGACAAACAACTTGGAACAACATTAACTATATTTACATCATTTATTATGATATATAAAATAAGTGACATGTGAAAAGTCAAACTGTCCAAAGAGTGAAACTGAAATTTAAGCCAGTTTTCATTTTTCAGTAATTCTGATAAAAAGACCATTTACAAATGCAGATTAACCTTCAGAAATGTTGATAAATAAAAATACACACTTAAATTTCTCTAATCTGCATTGTGGATTTTCCAACAAAGGGCAGATCTTCTCCATTCCTGAGTTTCCTAGTTTATTTCCACTCAGATCCAGCTCTATCAGGTTTGAAGGGTTTGAATTAAACGCTGAAGTCAGAGCAGCACAACCTTCTGCTGTAATACTGTTATTATTCAGCCTGAAGAAGAGAAAGAAAACAAAGACAGGAAGATTCTTCAGTTTGTTTTAGCCACAACAACTACAATAACAAGAATATACATCTATGATTGTTCAACTAATCATAGCCCTGAAAAGCTTTAAAGAACAGCAATGACAGTATTGGTTTAGATTTAATGATTAGACTGAAAATGATTAGATACTTTGCAGAGTATTGTCATAAAAAGCTTCATCAATATCCAGTCTGACTGCATACGAGAGCAGTGTTGTGTGTTCAGTGTAATTTACTTTAAACAGATCGATCATCAGTCAATCCGGACACAACACATTTACATCCGTTCACATCAAGTGGTCTGTATAACGATTTCTGTTTCCCCGCAAAATATTTAAATTAGGTCTGTAATAGGCCTTTATCACAGAGTGTGAAACAACTCTCAGTTTATCCTCTATCAGTGATAGTGCCCACATAGCATGGGATTTTTGTGATTTATTCATATACAACCAGTCTCAAATTCGGGACTTAATCTAATAGTTTGAGTTTCCCAACATTAATCTTATGTGATGAAACAAGGAAAAATGTTTTTCGGACACATTGCACGATTAAAAGAAGAGCATTTAAATAGGCTACTGTATGTGTAAAATGGCGAAAACAGTATATTACACAGTCCTTAAGGGGGGCGGTTTCCCCCCACTCTACCCTATTGCAGACACGCTGAAACATTTAAAACATTTAACATTAAAAATACAATTCATAGTGTACCGTATTTCCTCTATTTTTCCTCTGGCAGTAGGTAACTTGAGCAACTCTTTGTTTAGATCTCACTACAGATTTACACTGGCAGCGCTGACAATGACCTCATTCAGACAATGTTGCACAATTTAAATGAAAGATGATAATGCATAAGAAAGATAATGCAGACTCTATAGTTATTGATTATTTGCGGAAGTCTACCGGAAGTTATGTTTGGGGCACAAAAGTGTGCATTTGCAGTAATATTTATTTATGTTGTTGCCGTTGAAACCATCTATGTAAAAATAGAAAATACTCACTGGAGTGTGTTGAGTTTACAGTGTTTATCCTGCAGAAGAGCAGCAATCCGATGTATTCCTGTGTCTCCAAGTTTACGTTCACTCAGATTCAGCTCTCTCAGGAGTAACGGGTTTTTACCCACAATCCCTATCACATACTGAGAGGCTTTATCAGCAGCAGGACCCAAAAACCTGCAGAAGAGAAGATGAATCAAGTTGAATTCAATTCCCTTCTAAACATTTCTTAATAAAAAACAACATTAAATTCTAATGAAAAAAGTTTTTTTTCTTGAATTTATTTTGATCCAACAGACAAGTATTTAGTTAAATAATATTTCTATTAATAATTCACCTGGATATAATTTTTAATTATTTCCTCATGTCTCACCTCAGTGTCTTCAGTTGACAGTCTGGAACCTGTAGTAAATCATCGAGCTCCTTCACTCCTGATTGTCCAGGATCATTTCCTGTGAGATCCAGCTCTATCAGGTGTGAAGGGTTTGATCTCAGAGCTGAAGCCAGAGCTTTATAACCTTCTTCTGTGATACTGCAGTCGGAGAGTCTACAGAAAAGAGATTTCAATCAATCATTGATCACTGAATATAGATGAAAAATGTACCCAGTGTTAGACAAAATTTAATCTGAACTGAGAACTGAAGCCAGAGCTGAACAGCTTTTCTTAGTTAGATCACACTTACTGATTCTGGAATAATAATAATAATAATAATTATTATTATTATTATTATAAAGCATCAATGAAGACATGATGGAACTTTTGCACATAATTAAATAGTAATATTGCTGTGATTGCTGTGGTGTTGTTTAGTGTAGCTAATGGTTAAATGTACTCACTTCAGTATTTTCAGCGTTGATTTCTTCAGTCCCTCACAGATCTCTTTGACTCTTGAGTCCAGCAGACGGCTGTCGTTCAGGTTCATCTCTTTCAGGATGGTTTTGGAGGAGAGAACAGTAGCAAGAACCGAACAGCTTTTCTCTGTCAGCTCACATTTATTCAACCTAAACACAAAAACAGCATTATTTATTATTCAACACACATCAGATCAACAGGTCTTCATATCTGCTCAAACGTGACAGTCTTTAATAATGAATAAACAAAACAAATTTGTAATGTATAAAATCATGTTGACCTACTTCATTTTTTCCACTTTGCTATGAGAGTCCATTAAAAGAGCAGAGAGCTTCTCTCCATCCAGATTTCCAAGTTTATCTTCACTCACATCCAGTTCTGTCAGTAATAATGGACTTGTACCCAGAACTCCAGTGAGATATTCACACGCTTCTCGTGCAGCAGGACTTTTCAAAAATCTAAACGAAATAGATTATCATTTTATCTCACATAATCTTAAAATTGAATGTCTTATGCAACACTCTTCCTCTTTAATAGACCAGTTAATTTACATAAAAGATATACAAAAGATGAATATTTTAAAATATTGTCTATATATATATATATATAAACACACACAATATTTTTCACAGAAAAACTATAACAAAATGTAATGTTAAGATATGTTATTCCAAAATATTTTTTTTATGTTTGTCACATTTGTATAAAATAATTGATTTTATGCTATTTCAAATGGAACAGACAGTGTTTGCGCTAAAAGGAAACACAGATTTAATTTGTACACTTAAAGTATGGTAACTGATTAAACACTTTTGCTGTGCTGTTAAACCAATGAGATTATGGCTTATGTCAAAAACACGTTCTGAGCTTTAGAAAGCCTCCGGTGCTGCTGAAGTTCAGTTATAGTAATGGGAGGTAGCTTCCAACACGCCAACATGCGCTGTGCGTGGTAGACCAATCACAACACACTGGGCCGTCTGACCAATCAGAGCAGAGCAGGCTCATGGAAAGGAGGGATTTAGAGATACTGATTCATCCAAAGATTCATTTAAGAATTTTTTAAGAATGTGGTAATGTGCAATGTACAAGTGAAACTTGGAAAATTAGAATTTCGTGCAAAAATGATAATTTTGGATGATTATGTATTACAGATTATGAAAACCCCAAATTCAAAATCTCAGAAAATGCAAATATTACATGAAATCAATAAACAAATGATTTTAAATACAGAAATGTTGGCCCTCTGAAAAGTATAATCACGCATATGTATATATATTTGAATATTTGAATTACTGAAATACATGAACTTATTGCACTTATTCTAATTTTTCGAGTTTCACCTGTATATTATGAGAAACTGTATCTGTTTTTTTACTTGTGATGCATGTAACCTGTTGTACTTTTTTTTTTTTTTTTACTTTTGAGTGTCACTCAGAAAAAGAAAAACAGCTAAAAATGCCTTCAGGGCTTAAAGGGTTAATACATATTTAAAGATTTGAAGCACCTGATGGTCTTTAATTTATAGCGTTCATTTAAACTACTGCACTTTATAATTTTAAGAAACTCACATCAGTGTTAGTTTACAGTCGGGTTTTTGTGCTACATCACAGAGCTGCTTGACTCCTGATTGTCCAGGATCATTTCCTGTGAGATCCAGCTCTATCAGGTGTGAAGGGTTTGATCTCAGAGCTGAAGCCAGAGCTTTATAACCTTCTTCTGTGATACTGCAGTCTGAAAGTCTGTAAAAGAAAAATAAGTTATTTATTCTTTGTTTGGACAGAGGTTAGCTAATAAATACATTCGGACAAACAACTTGGAACAACATTAACTATATTTACATCATTTATTATGATATATAAAATAAGTGACATGTGAAAAGTCAAACTGTCCAAAGAGTGAAACTGAAATTTAAGCCAGTTTTCATTTTTCAGTAATTCTGATAAAAAGACCATTTACAAATGCAGATTAACCTTCAGAAATGTTGATAAATAAAAATACACACTTAAATTTCTCTAATCTGCATTGTGGATTTTCCAACAGAGGGCAGATCTTCTCCATTCCTGAGTTTCCTAGTTTATTTCCACTCAGATCCAGCTCTATCAGGTTTGAAGGGTTTGAATTAAACGCTGAAGTCAGAGCAGCACAACCTTCTGCTGTAATACTGTTATTATTCAGCCTGAAGAAGAGAAAGAAAACAAAGACAGGAAGATTCTTCAGTTTGTTTTAGCCACAACAACTACAATAACAAGAATATACATCTATGATTGTTCAACTAATCATAGTCCTGAAAAGCTTTAAAGAACAGCAATGACAGTATTGGTTTAGATTTAATGATTAGACTGAAAATGATTAGATACTTTGCAGAGTATTGTCATAAAAAGCTTCATCAATATCCAGTCTGACTGCATACGAGAGCAGTGTTGTGTGTTCAGTGTAATTTACTTTAAACAGATCGATCATCAGTCAATCCGGACACAACACATTTACATCCGTTCACATCAAGTGGTCTGTATAACGATTTCTGTTTCCCCGCAAAATATTTAAATTAGGTCTGTAATAGGCCTTTATCACAGAGTGTGAAACAACTCTCAGTTTATCCTCTATCAGTGATAGTGCCCACATAGCATGGGATTTTTGTGATTTATTCATATACAATCAGTCTCAAATTCGGGACTTAATCTAATAGTTTGAGTTTCCCAACATTAATCTTATGTGATGAAACAAGGAAAAATGTTTTTCGGACACATTGCACGATTAAAAGAAGAGCATTTAAATAGGCTACTGTATGTGTAAAATGGCGAAAACAGTATATTACACAGTCCTTAAGGGGGGCGGTTTCCCCCCACTCTACCCTATTGCAGACACGCTGAAACATTTAAAACATTTAACATTAAAAATACAATTCATAGTGTACCGTATTTCCTCTATTTTTCCTCTGGCAGTAGGTAACTTGAGCAGCTCTTTGTTTAGATCTCACTACAGATTTACACTGGCAGCGCTGACAATGACCTCATTCAGACAATGTTGCACAATTAAAATGAAAGATGATAATGCATAAGAAAGATAATGCAGACTCTATAGTTATTGATTATTTGCGGAAGTCTACCGGAAGTTATGTTTGGGGCACAAAAGTGTGCATTTGCAGTAATATTTATTTATGTTGTTGCCGTTGAAACCATCTATGTAAAAATAGAAAATACTCACTGGAGTGTGTTGAGTTTACAGTGTTTATCCTGCAGAAGAGCAGCAATCTGATGTATTCCTGTGTCTCCAAGTTTACGTTCACTCAGATTCAGCTCTCTCAGGAGTAACGGGTTTTTACCCACAATCCCTATCACATACTGAGAGGCTTTATCAGCAGCAGGAACCAAAAACCTGCAGAAGAGAAGATGAATCAAGTTGAATTCAATTCCCTTCTAAACATTTCTTAATAAAAAACAACATTGAATTCTAATGAAAAAAGTTTTTTTTCTTGAATTTATTTTGATACAACAGACAAGTATTTAGTTAAATAATATTTCTATTAATAATTCACCTGGATATAATTTTTAATTATTTCCTCATGTCTCACCTCAGTGTCTTCAGTTGACAGTCTGGAACCTGTAGTAAATCATCGAGCTCCTTCACTCCTGATTGTCCAGGATCATTTCCTGTGAGATCCAGCTCTATCAGGTGTGAAGGGTTTGATCTCAGAGCTGAAGCCAGAGCTTTATAACCTTCTTCTGTGATACTGCAGTCGGAGAGTCTACAGAAAAGAGATTTTAATCAATCATTGATCACTGAATATAGATGAAAAATGTACCCAGTGTTAGACAAAATTTAATCTGAACTGAGAACTGAAGCCAAAAGCTGAACAGCTTTTCTTAGTTAGATCACACTTACTGATTCTGGAATAATAATAATAATTATTATTATTAATATTATAAAGCATCAATGAAGACATGATGGAACTTTTGCACATAATTAAATAGTAATATTGCTGTGATTGCTGTGGTGTTGTTCAGTGTAGCTAATGGTTAAATGTACTCACTTCAGTATTTTCAGCGTTGATTTCTTCAGTCCCTCACAGATCTCTTTGACTCCTGAGTCCAGCAGACGGCTGTCGTTCAGGTTCATCTCTTTCAGGATGGTTTTGGAGGAGAGAACAATAGATAGAACTGAACAGCTTTTCTCTGTCAGCTCACAGTTATTCAGCCTAAACACAAAAACAGCATTATTTATTATTCAACACACATCAGATCAACAGGTCTTCATATCTGCTCAAACGTGACAGTCTTTTATAATGAATAAACAAAACAAATTTGTAATGTATAAAATCATGTTGACCTACTTCATTTTTTCCACTTTGCTATGAGAGTCCATTAAAAGAGCAGAGAGCTTCTCTCCATCCAGATTTCCAAGTTTATCTTCACTCAGATCCAGTTCTGTCAGTAATAATGGACTTGTACCCAGAACTCCAGTGAGATATTCACACGCTTCTCGTGCAGCAGGACTTTTCAAAAATCTAAACAAAGTAGATTATCATTTTATCTCACATAATCTTAAAATTGAATGTCTTATGCAACACTCTTCCTCTTTAATAGACCCAGTTCATTTACATAAAAGATATACAAAAGATGAATATTTTAAAATATTGTCTATATATATATATATATATAAACACACACAATATTTTTCACAGAAAAACTATAACAAAATGTAATCTTAAGATGTTATTACAAAATATTTTTTTTATGTTTGTCACATTTGTATAAATTTGATTTTATGCTATTTCAAATGGAACAGACAGTGTTTGCGGTAAAAGGAATCACAGATTTCATTTGTACACTTAAAGTATGGTAACTGATTAAACACTTTTGCTGTGCTGTTAAACCAATGAGATTATGGCTTATGTCAAAAACACGTTCTGAGCTTTAGAAAGCCTCTGGTGCTGCTGAAGTTCAGTTATAGTAATGGGAGGTAGCTTCCAACACGCCAACATGCGCTGTGCGTGGTAGACCAATCACAACACACTGGGCCGTCTGACCAATCAGAGCAGAGCAGGCTCATGGAAAGGAGGGATTTAGAGATACTGATTCATCCAAAGATTCATTTAAAAAAATTTTAAGAATGTGGTAATGTGCAATGTACAAGTGAAACTTGGAAAATTAGAATATCGTGCAAAAATTATAATTTTGATGATTATGTATTACAGATTATGAAAACCCCAAATTCAAAATCTCAGAAAATGCTAATATTACATGAAATCAATAAACAAATGATTTTAAATACAGAAATGTTGGCCCTCTGAAAAGTATAATCATGCATATGTATATATACTGTATATGAATATTTGAATTACTAAAATACATGAACTTATTGCACTTATTCTAATTTTTCGAGTTTCACCTGTATATTATGAGAAACTGTATCTGTTTTTTACTTGTGATGCATGTAAACTGTTGTACTTTTTTTTTTTTTTTACTTTTGAGTGTCACTCAATATCAGCTAAAAATGCCTTCAGGGCTTAAAGGGTTAATACATATTTAAAGATTTGAAGCACCTGATGGTCTTTAATTTATAGCGTTCATTTAAACTACTGCACTTTATAATTTTAAGAAACTCACATCAGTGTTAGTTTACAGTCGGGTATTTGTGCTACATTATCGAGCTGCTTCACTCCTGATTCTCCAGGATCATTTCCTGTGAGATCCAGCTCTATCAGGTGTGAAGGGTTTGATCTCAGAGCTGAAGCCAGAGCTTTATAACCTTCTTCTGTGATACTGCACTTTGAGAGTCTACAGAAAAGACATTTCAATTAAACATTGATCACTGAATATAGACGAACAAAATGAGCAGTGCTAGACAAAATAGAACTAGAGTCTTAGACATGAACTCACCTGAGTTTCTCTAGTTTACAGTCCTTTTTAAGTCCATCAGAGAGCAACCTCACTCCTGAATCCTGCAGATTATTATTGCTCAGGTCAAGATCCTTCAGACTGCTGGAGTCTGAACTGAGAACTGAAGCCAAAGCTGAACAACTTTCCTCTGTTACCGAACACTGGTTAAGTCTGGAAAAAAAGGTTGTCAATATATTAGATTTTGAACCAGCTTCACCAGCATGGGAGGCACACAAGCGAAGGCAGTTGCTAGCACCTCTTGAGGCCAAAGGAGTGAGGTTTACAACACAGCTCTCGCTGTTTCTGTTGCAGTCTCATAGTTTGTCTCTCAAACATCTCATAATTGGTTCATACATAGATAGGTGATATTACACTCTTTTATGATCCTTACAACTCATCTCTTTTCATTTGAAGCTTGCCAAAAAATGTTTTGCTATGCAATAAATTATGTGTTTTCTACAATTTAGAAATAGCAGAGTAGATATATTTACAACTACATCATTAATTTAATATGGTGAACTACAATTAACTGCCCTTCTCAAGTATATGTAAATCACACCCATCACATAACTTACCTCAGTATCTCCAATTTACACTTCACACTATTCAGTCCAGAACAGAGTTTCATTACTCCTGAACTCTGTAGATTATTATTGCTCATATTCAGCTCTTCCAGATTGTTGTCTGATTCGAGAGCCTTAGCGAGACTCGAACAGCTTTTCTCTGTTAAGTCACAATCGTTTAACCTACAAGAAATCATTTATAACACAAAGAAAAATTAACAAACATTTGCTACACATTGCTCTACAAATGAATAAAAGATTGATTAATTTGAGATGAACAATAAATATACAACAGTGATATTAAATTCAGAAAAACTCCCTAATGATGATGCTTATTATAAGATGTAAGCAGAATGCAAACTCACTATGCTGTATATAAATATAATTTGCAGAATTTAATTTGAATTATTTCTTCCTCTACATTTTTTTAATTTAATTTTATAGGTGCTTAAAAAATCTTAATAATCAATAATGGCTTTAGTTAACCATAACATTTGTAAATTAAAGGTCCCGTATTATGCCCCTTTTCAGAAGATGTAAAATAAGTCTGTGATGTCCCCAGAATGTGTATGTTAAGTTTCAGCTCAAAATACCCACAGCATGTTTAAATTGTCATTTTTGGGGCTCAAAAACACGTGCTGTTATAGTGTGTGCCCTTTAAATGCAAATAAGCTGCTGCTACTGGCACAGGGGGCGGAGCTTCATGAGCTTGCGCTCAGTCTCTCAGGACAATTTCATCTCACGGAATGATGATAATATCAGAAACTCTCAGTAACGGTGTTCATTTCGGGTGCATTTTGAGTGCTGTTTAGAGATGGAACAGGCATAGTTTAGTAGTTTAATTACGTTTTTTATAACGAATTTGTCATCTGCTTGTATGTATCCATTATTTATTAATAGGCTACAAGTCTGCTGTTTCGGACCAGGTCCGAATGATGATCAAACATAAACTGATGAGTTTAATAAAGTTTATTGTACATCACACAAAAGATGAAGCGTCAGTTTTACTTCAGAAAATCACCGTAAGAGAGCTGAGTAAACACAGTAAGTTATGAGAAGTGCGCAAGTTGAGGGAGTTGAGGGAGCATTCCTGTGGGCGGACGTTAGTCAAAAAACTGTTCTACTGACGGCATTAAAGAAGGAAGTAGAGGGATGTAGTCCAAACGGGCCGTTCGATGTAGGCTACTTCTGTTAAATAAAATATCTCGCTTGGCACTGAACTTTGAACTTTATTATTTTACAGATATTATTTATACTCTTACAACAACATTACACACTAACTAAACATTGAAACATGGGATCACGAAGAACGGGACCTTTAATGATTAAATAACATTTACAGTGTAGCGAACAGACTCTTTATAATCGTATATAATCGTGAAATTGCTGTTTTATTTTGCACTAGCATTCATAGAGTTAACGCGGGGAGTTCCAAAGCCAGGACGGGGAACTAGAGACGGAGTTCATGCTGGTTCTCCTGTGTTATATTTGTTCTGCATTATGAAGATCAGAAACAGAGCCTTCTTTGTCTGTCGTTCTTCAGACATTACAATATACTTATATCTGGTATAATATGATTAATATTTATTTATGGAGGTTTTTGATCAATGTATTTTCTTTCGAATTACATTTTAGTCTTTAAAAGGGGGGGTTGACTGTGATTTCACTTTTTTCATTTTAAATAGTGTGTAATGTTGCTGTTGGTGCATGAACAGTATCTGCAAAGTTGCAGTGCTGAAAGTTCAGTGTAAGCAGAGATATCATCTTTTCAAAATCAGGAAGTTTAATGCCTACAAAAACGACTGGATTGGGACTACAGCTGGGTTATGGTACGTCACTAACCCGCACATTTGCATCAACCCCTCCCTCAGAATATGCAGAAAATGGCATGCGCATATTTCTGCGGCTGGTCGAGCGTGTTGTTCACGCAGCTGTCAGGTCTTCTGTTTTCGAGCTTCCCACAGACGCTGTACTTCGTCAACAATGGATACTATTTATGTTTGATTATGTTCCTAAAAATGACGATAATCTAGCTCTCTGTGCTGCGCATTTTACGGAAGACAGCATCCAGAATCTAGCAGTGGCAGCAGTTGTTGAGCCACAACCTGTAAGTAGGTGAAGACTTAATCATTTTAAATGTATTTTCATGTATAATTCCAGACGTAGCCTTGTTTTTTATTTTTTTCAAATGCCAGCGCTGGCTTCATAGCCACTAGGCTACTAGTTATGCTATTTTGTGTCTATGACAAATGCGTACAAACATTATGGACCTGAATTTTTACTAATGTTAAAATGTTGTAAATGTATTTTTCATGTATATATGCTTTATGACGTTATTTTCGATTTGATCAAGAACATAAACTAATGCCAACACTGTTTGTGTTTAACATTAGTAGCCAGTCAGTTGCTGTTGTTGCCAGTCAGATGCTATTGAGTTAAACAAATGTGTACAAAGTAAAAAAAAAATGTAGCAAATTATCATTCAGAAGCGTTTAGTAAGAGCTGTAGTATGTGGTGAGGTTCTGTTTGACTCTCTTCATCGCCGCTTTCTCGGTCTGATTCTACCTCAAACTGACACTGCAGTTAGACACCATTATTTACATCTGGACCGGAGCTCATGACATGCACGTTTCGCCCACAAAGGTAATGGGCGTTAACCTTCCAGACAACGTGAGCGACAGTTTAGCCAATCACAACACACCGGGCCAAACTAACCAATCTGAGGTTAGTTTGGCCTACAACTAGCCTGTTTCTGAGGGAGTGGTTTCATAGAAAGTCAACCGCTCGTTCGAGGACAGAGGAGAGCGCGGCTGACAATAAAGGAGAAGTTTATGAAAAATAAGACTTTTAAAAAAAGAAAAACCACGAATACATGTTATATTGCACCCCATAAATACAATCATGCAAAGATTACAATACAATCCCCCCCACCCCTCTTTAAATCATCTGTTTTCAACCTGGCTCCTGGATGCCCAGTGTCCAGCAGAGTTTAGCGTCAACATTAATTAACACATCTGAACCAGATAATCAAGCTCTTCAGAATTATTTAAAAATCTCAAGATAAAGCAGGTTGGATTTAAACTTTGTAGGGCAGTGGGCCTTTAGGAGCCAGGTTGAAGACCTCTGCTTTAAATGACTTACAGAGCTCTTTTGGAGAGTTTCACAACTTCCAACAGTCTAAAGAGACACTCGTCTGATTTCTTGAATTTCTGAAGTTCAAACTCCTCCATCTCCTCTTCTGATGTCAGCAACACAAAGACCAAAGCAGACCACTGGGCAGGTGAAAGATCAGCAGATGAGAGACTTCCTTTGCTAAGGTTGATCTGAATCTCTTTCACCAGAGTTTGATCATTCAGCTCATTCAGACAGTAGAACAGATTGATGGATCTCTCTGGAGACAGATTATCTTCAAATTTCTGCTTGATGTACTGAACTATCTCCTTTTTGCTCTGGTCATTGTCATTTTGCTGTGTCAACAGTCCTCGTAAGAGTAGTCGATTAGACTGGAACAACAGACCAAGGACGAAGCGAAGGAAAAGGTCCAGATGTCCAGTGTCACTCTCGAGCGCCTTGTCCACTGCAGTCTTGAGCAAATCAATCATGGCTTCATTTTTGTTTTCCTGTTCTGTAGACTCTTGAAAATACACAATTGTCTTGGTGATGTCTAGAATCAGATATGAATAAAGGTTCTTGAGCAAATCAGTCATGGTTTTATTATTGTTTGCCTGTTCTGCAGACTCTTGATCAAACACACTTTTCTTCTCTATGTCTAGAAACAGATGTGCAAAAAGGGCTGCAATAAACTCTTGAATGCTCAAGTGAACGAAGCAGAAAGTGGTACCAACAGTGATCCCTCTTTCCTCCTTGAAGATCTGGGTACACATGCTTGAATACAGTGATGCTTTAGAGGTATCAATACCACAGTCTTCCAGATCCGTGTCATAGAAGATCAGGTTGTTTTTCTCCAGCTGATGAAATGCCAGTTTCCCCAGTGAAAGGATGGCGTCTCTATCCCAGGAAACATCAGGTGTGTATTCTCCATCATACTTTCGTCTGCTCTGCTGGATCTGAAAGCGGAGAAAGTGTGTGTACATTTGTGTCAGAGTCTTGGGAGTGTCTTCAGTATGTGATTGCTGTAGTGTTTTAGAGGCTTCATCAGACTGATTGTTTTTTACATCATTATTTCTTTTCTCTTCCAAAATGTTCTGGAGAACAGTGGCCGAAATCCAGCAGAAGACTGGGATGTGGCACATGATGAAGAGACTCTTTGATTGTTTTATGTGATCAATAATTTCATTGGCCATTTTCTCATCTGTGAATCTTCTTTTGAAGTACTCTTCCTTTTGTGCATCACTAAATCCTCGTACTTCTGTCACGCGGTCGATACATTCAGGAGGAATCTTACTGGCAGCGGCTGGTCTGGTGGTGATCCAGATGAGAGCAGAAGGAACCAGATTTCCCTTGATGAGGTTCGTCAGAAGAACATCCAGAGTGGTTGGTGACGATACATCACGCCACGTCTCATTGCCATCAAAGTTTAGAGGAAGACGACATTCATCCAATCCATCAAGGATGAACAGGACTTTGAATTGATTCCTTGTTGTAAGGTTCAGTCCTTTTGTCTCTGGGAAAAATGTAGATATAAGATCCATTAAACTTTGTTTTTCTTTCTCCTTTAAGTTCATCTCTCTGAATGGAAGAGGAAATATGAAGCTGATATCTTGATTTTCTTTTCCTTCAGCCCAATCCAGAACAAACTTTTGCACAGAGACTGATTTCCCAATGCCAGCAACTCCTTTTGTCAGTACAGTTCTGATCTCTTTGTCTTGTTCAGATGGTTCAAACAAATTGTTGCATTGAACTGGTATCTCTTGTGAGTCTGCACTCCTGAATGCAACCTCAATCTGTCTGACTTCATGTTCAGTATTGACATGTTCACTACCACCCTGAGTGATATAGAGATCTGTGTAGATGTTATTCAGAAGTGTGGAGTCACCATGCTTTGCAATTCCTTCAAACACACATTGATACTTCTTCTTTAGGCTACATTTTAATGGATGAATGAAGAAAAGCTCATCTAAACAGAGGAACAAATACAGATAGTTATAGTTTTCTCTCCTACATGTACAAGTGTTAGTCTAGCAGATGGTCATGAGTGTCTTACCTTTTAGAGTATCAGCAGCTTCATCTTGCTTCATCTCTCTCAGGTAGTGTAGTGTGAGATCAAGAGCTGCTTCTTTAATACTGCATCGTTTCTCGTTAAAGTCCTTCACAATGTCTTGAGTGCTCACCTTTTGTAATATGTTCTTAAACTTTCCCAGCTCATCCTTCAGAAACTTGATTATTTTGCTCTCAAGATCCTACAAACAAAGCAAAAAAATAAAATTAATAATAAATCAAATTTGTACATTTAAAACATCTAAAAACATGCATTCTCTTATTTTTTGAGTTCTTAAAGGTGCAAAACTCAAGTATCTGAGTTTCTGCAGAACTACTCCCCCTCTGGCGACAAGCGAAACTGCAACCAGAGGTGTGCGCATTCATGGAGGAACACACACACATGTTTGCAGGAGCTGTTCATAACCAAAGGAGCATCAGCCGCACACTGTGTGGCACACATCTTTTGTTACAGTCATAATGAGGTAATACAGTTATAAATCTGCAAGTCATTTAAAATATATGAAAGGAAAGGCATTCGAGTAAATTACACACTTATGTGTGTGTGTGCGGAAATTCTTCCATCTATCTCCATGTTGAACTGTTTTTTGTGCTTACTGTATCCACTTATGATTGTATTATTATGGAAACACGTTAATGAACAATATAAGTTATTACTTTGTATAGGACCCGTTTGAGCCCTAGAGCCGACCAGAGATCTCTCCGTTTGTTGAAAGCTTCCCGATGTTGACTCTCGTCTTATTCCGACGCCTGGCACTGGACAGACTGAAGTTTTATTTTCTTTGTCTTGCGTGTAGTTTGCATTGCGGTGTGGATGAACTACAAGCCGGTTTCTTTCCACGCTATATACAGATTTAATGAAGTGCACGTCACCGAAAGCAACAGATATGAGCTGCATTTTATTGATCATCGGCTAATTTCAAAATCAGCAAAGACAGCAATAAGAGAGATCGGCAACAGCCCTGGTAAGATCATTTCATTTCTTTACTTTTAATGAAGATGGTAGTGTTAAGCGTCTGCGACTTACTTTCACTTTGATTTGCGATAGATTGCGGCGCTGGCTTGATGAATAGGCGCTCAGCTGCTCATCTGAGGTGATGCGGGTCGTCATATATGACTAAAACAACATGACATATAGCCTGGTTTCAACAACCAGACGCATTTACACTTGTCCAGTTTTGTCAGGAATACGGCCCAGACCACGTCCGCAAGTGATTTGAGCGATCGGATTCAAATCCGTCTCGAATGCGTTTCGGAGAGCAACCTGGTCTTTTCACTATCGAATATCTATCCAATCACAGAAAACGCATGAAGTGACCAGGTGTAAACAGCCCCTTTGAATCCATCGTCTACTTTTGTGGAAAGCTGACTAGAGTTGTGTCGCTCGAGTTGACTTCTCTGATACGGAGTACGGCGGCGAATAGCTACATGAACCTGCCAGACATAGGCACACAGCCAGACGAGGGTGAACGCGCATGACGTCATGGCCAGTCTCAGATTCGAGCCCGAATCTCTCTTAGTTATTTCACTGTACAGGATTATAGAGGCGATCACAGTGATCAGAGAAGGGCTCATTCAGCCCATCAGGCGATTGTTTAAGCATGTATGGGTTAGAAAACGACTATTTTTAACATGAAATGTTGCGCAATGCACCTTTAAAATTAAGAGTAATGGTCAAAAACAATTAGAAATAAAATTTCAACTTTTTCAGAAAACAATCTATTTGTTTGTTATAATTATTAAATATCTATGAAAATGTATAAAAGTTTTCTTACCTTGAAGATACACGGGAGATTGTCTGTGAAATTCTTGTGTTTCCTGTGAGTCTGGAAATCTGAATCTAACGTTTTATAAATCCTGTTGGCAAATAAAATAAATAAAAATTCTGCATTTCCAGGAAAAAATATAACCAAAATCTCCAATCAGACTAGCGGATATTTTATTCTGTGAATCATTGCTGCACAGCAAATTTCAGGAGTTGAAAAATAATGAGTTAGGCAAAAAAGTGTGAAAGAGTTAATTTTTTGGAGTTATTTTTTTAACTCTGACTACGGTTTGTGTTATTGGATACTCCCCGACTGTGTTGTATTTTGGAGTTCATGGTGTTCAGGAGCATGTTTTAACACTACACCTGGAGTTATTTTTGAGAAGTGCGCCACGACACGACCCTGCCGCTGCACAAAGGAATAATGGACTTATGCTTCGTCGTGAGGTAGGTAAAAGTGTAACTTATACAAGTATTTAAAAAATATATTTTCTGACAAAACACGTTTGGTCATCGCGTAGCTGTTACGTTACAGGCTAGCAGTTTGTTTACTAATTAACGTCAACGACCATGACAAACTTGCTGTTGAACGCATGTTTAAATTACTTGTTTAAAATTTTGAAATGGCTATTTGCGTGGGTTTTTTGTCGATGTAAACGAGTTAACATTAGCTAACCGTCTTTCCATTCACCGTGTTTCTGAAAATGAGTGTTTTGCCGTGAAATTGATGCATCAATGCATTACAGGCAATTGAATTGTAACAGATATGTAACGTTAGGCTATATTAGTGGTGACCCACGATGTGCGTGATTTTCAGCTTATATATTTTTGCATTCTCAATGAATGGTGCTAGATTATATTATGCCTTGTTTTTGTGATCTTCAGACGACTGTCCTGCAGCAAGCGGTTGAAGGTTACTCCTCCTCAAGTCTGAACCAAATGGATTTGCTCAAATAAAGGCAGTAAATCAAGAGTATGGTGTCCAGTGTAGTAATTTCCACACAAAACATTATATTGTGTTAAATAAATGTTAACTCTATAGAAGTGTTAAACTAAACTGGTAACACTGGTAATGAGTTCATATAATTAATTTTAGAGTTACATTTACTCTCTGTAGGATTAGTATTTTAACTCCATTTTAAAGGCCATTGCACACCGAGTCCGAAATTCGCATCCGAAATTTTCGCACGTTAAAAAAAAAATTCGACCTCACGTTATTTCAGTCACGCTTGCACACCGCCTCCGAAACTTTCGTCCGTCATAAAATTAATCGGATCGGGTTCGATTTTCTGCGTTTTTCGCATCCAGAGCCAGCATTTTGAGAGGTCTTTTGACAATTCAGGGCCGGGGGTAGCTCGTCCTCAAATCATTGCACATATGCGCCGTGCTTTCAGTTTCGGTTTACAATTCGATCAAGTGTTTATGTTCTCTTCTCTATTGGATTATGAAATTAATAAACCTCCCCTTTCAATCAGATTGAAATTTAGAATCGAATAAGGTGTGATTGAGCAGCCTATTCGATAACTAATGTATTATTTGGGCACAATATACACAATAACAGCCTAGCTGTTCTGTCTACCCAGCGCTTCCAACGGGCCGCGCGCGGGTGTGTGTTTGTCCGTGTGTGTGTCCATACCTGGTCCATTTCAGACACACTGCCAGTCTCCGTTCAGAATCGATTGGTTCACGGAAATTGGTGGTCTTGTTTTTAATATGTGGCTCCAGAATCGCTAGCAAAGCATCAAACTGTCCCACTGACATTCTGAGGTAAATTTTGAATCGCTCAGGATAAATTCGCAACTCCTTGATAACTCTCCTTCCTCTCGGCGCAATTTCAGGATTGGATGGACGTAATATTTTCTCTTTCTTCCCTTTTCAATAAGAGAGAGGGCAAAAATCATCCTCACTGCTTGACGAATCCATTTGGTATTTTTGCGTTTTTTCCCGCAAAGGTTTAAGAAATACGCAACGGACTCGGTGTGCAAGGTTTCTATGCGTGACGAATTTTTAAGCTGACGAACACGAAAATACGCATACGAATATTTCGTGCTCAGTGTGCAATGGCCTTAACTCTGAAAAAAGTGTTAAAGATTCAACTCCAAGAGCAGAGTTATTTTAACTCTGCGCTGGAGTCTAATTGATGGTCTCACATGTACACTCAGATTGAGTTGATTTTAACGAACAGGGAGTTTATTCCAAAAACCAGAATTTGCTGTGTGTATTTAGTTAAGTTTTGTCATAGATAGACCACTGTAGAGAAATTATAACTCTATATAAAAACATAAAAATACCCTTTGATAGATGTCTTCTCACTGACGTTCGGTCGATCACCATCATTTGAAAAATCACTCTTCACGGACACAGAGCCGGACACATGTGAGCCTGAGCTTACACTAATGACACAAACAACAGAGAGAAAAAAACTTTTCACCACAGAAGATCCTTCAGTCTTATATTGTGTTACTGGAAAGAAGATCCATATTGAGTTTAATAAAGAGGAAATCAGACTAGCGGACATTTTATTCAGTGAATCATTGCTGTATTTAGTTAAGTTTCCTCATATTGATAGACCACTGTAGAGAAATTATAACTCTATAATGTAAAACATATAAAAATACCGTTTGATAGATGTCTTCTCACTGACGTTCGGTCGATCACCATCATTTGAAAAGTCACTCTTCACAGACACAGGGCTGGACACATGTGAGCCTGAGCTTTCACTGATGACACAAAGAACAGAGAGAAAGCACATTTCACTACAGAATATACTTCAGTCTTATATTGTGTTACTGGAAAGAAGCTCCAGATTGAGTTTAATAAAGAGGAAATCAGACTAGCGGACATTTTATTCAGTGAATCATTGCTGTATTTAGTTAAGAATTGAATTGAAATATCTTTAATGTCCCCAAGGGGCAATTTAGTTTACAACCGGTAGCCAACACATACACATTCACACAAAAACAGATACGAACATGAGATACTAAATAGATAAAAACATAAATAACATGTACCTATAATTTGTTGAGAAACCAAACAGCTATTGGTACTAGGGATGGGACGGTATGAAAATTTCATATCACGATTATAGTGTCCAAAATAATCGTGATTATCAATATTATCACGGTTTTGTTAAAAATGTATGAAAGTGCTCAAAAAGAACTGATGCTCACACTGAAAACATTTCAACAAGTTTTATAATTGAAAATCAACAAACAACAAATAAAACAAGCCTCTCTATGCAGTTTTTTTAAGCAAGATTCTATTCTATGGCATTTGCTTCTTTATAATGCCTGTCGTCAATAGCAACACATTATTACACAGCGCACATCCATATCACAACGGACGCGCGCTCTTGTTTCATTCAAATACAACTTGCTGTCTTGCGTCTCCGGTTTTTGATTGTATTGCAAAAATGAAATCAGAGTTAATTTATTGCTTACAGAGTTTGATAATATTGGTGAGATATATCTTGTCTGGACGATTGTTTTACAAAATGAATTCATAAATAGGTAAGATTTAAAACATTAGCTAATCTCATTATCAATTCAATATGTCCCCGTAATTATGTGGTAAAAATAAAATCGGTTTAATACATGATGTATCTATACTTTACTATCCCTTAAAATATCACTCTTAATAATAGTCTTGTTTGAAGTTGTTCGTTAGTCTTTAGCTCAAATCCACTTGCTACGAACTTTTCTTCGCGGAAGCTTCACGTCTATTTCAAGTGAGTGACATAAAATGTTTCAACTCAAAACAACATTTCGTGCCCAATTGTTTCCCAGATGTAGTTTTGGTATTGAGGTCAAAGTTAACTTGCCTTGCGTTCGGGTGATGAGCACACAAGACGACTTGGCAGATTTGAAGTGTTTCTATTGCAGTGACTTTTTGTTCGGCAGACAGGGTGACCATCCTCGATCAAGTTTCCCTCAGGACTTTTGTAAAACCCAAAATATGACCACACCTTAGATTTGGTCCTTTTAAAAGGCTGAAAAATCTCCTGAGCACGTTCACTGCCTTCCACCATTCCTTCTCGAATAGTAATTTAAAAAAATATTGCGTGCTGCGCGCCTGCGTCAGACTGGCCGACAGGATTCAGTGAGTTATTAAAATCGCGATAATCAAACACGGTTTTAATGATAATTAAATTTTAAACGATAATACTAACCGTCAGTACATTTTATCACGGTTTATCGTGAAACCGGTTATCGTCCCATCCCTAATTGGTACAAATGATTTCAAATATCTGTTGGATCTGGCACGTTTTCAGTAGGTATACCTCCTTCCTCGGAGTGTAGTGGGTGAGTGGTGTTAGCCAAAATGGCCATTGCCCTCTGTGTAGCTCTGGCCTTAAACACATGCTCAATGCTGTTCAGATCAGTACCAATTATTTTCCGACATATGCTTACAGTTTTTCCCAAACTGTTTTTGTTAATTACACTCAAATTGCCAAACCAGCAGATCAAAGCAAAGGTTAAAATTGACTCAACAAAAGATGAATAAAAAGCTTTTTAGAAGGGATCTATCAACATTAAACCCATTCAACTTTCTTAAAAAGAAAAGTCTCTGATTAGCTTTTTTGCATATATAGTCTGTATTGGTGTCAAAATTCAATTTATCATCTTGGTGCCCAAATACTTGTATTGTCTTACCACATCTAACGACATGCCATTAATCAATGCAAGTTTCCTCATATAGATAGACCATTGTAGAGAAATTATAACTCTATAATCTAAAACATAAAAATACCGTTTGATAGATGTCTTCTCACTGATGTTCGGTCGATCACCATCATTTGAAAAGTCACTCTTCATAGACACAGAGCTGGACACATGTGAGCCTTGTAATTCACTAATGACACAAAGAACAGAGAGTGAGAAAGCACATTTCACTACAGAAGATCCTTCAGTATTATATTGTGTTACTGGAAAGAAGCTCCAGACTGAGTTCAATAAAGAGGAAATCAGACCAGTGGACATTTTATTCGGTGAATCATTGTTGTATTTAGTTAAGTTTCCTCATATAAACAGACCATTGTAGAGAAATTATAACTCTATTATGTAAAACATAAAAATACCGTTTGATAGATGTCTTCTCACTGATGTTCGGTCGATCACCATCATTTGAAAAATCACTCTTCACAGACACAGAGCCGGACACATGTGAGCCTGATCTTTCACTGATGACACAAAGAGAGAAGAAACAATTTAATAACAGAAGTTCATCTGTTTTTGATAATGGCACAAACTCTCTCTATTCTCTTCACAGACGGAATGCTGATGAGGCATTTGCCCAATCAACTGTAAACTTATACTTTTTGATAAAAAAATAAATAAAAAAAATCAATGTTCCTATAACAATATTTTAATGCTGCAATATAACACTACTGCTGAAGAAGAGACTGTAAATTAGACTTAATATTGTTTTTCCTTTTTAGGTTTTAGATGTTTATCATCTGGGCCACAAAATATGTTTTTATTAGGAAGTTCTGAAGTTATGCACAGCATTTGCAAATATAAAAAATTGCTTTGTTAATCATTGGATGAATGTAAAACTTCAGTAGTTTAAAATGAGTGTGTGAAAACAGACGTAGTCTTACCTATGTTTCTCTGAGAGAATCATCTTAGAGAGAGAGTCCTTTCCTCGCTCCTCTGACATACTAAACTTCCACTGAAAGCAGATCAGCTCTGGTTTGTGGAAACAATCAGTCGTTACAATGAAAAATGTTAATTTAGCAACATCAACAAACACAATAACAAAGTTATTCATGGCTATTTAAATAGTGTGTTAAAAACAAAAAAGTTTTTGTTTTTAAACAAAAAAGCTTATGAATGGCACTTGTTGAATGGAAAAAAATATGTATTGCATTAAACCCTGCATTTTAATGCATTGTATGTTTAGGGGTGAAATTCTAGGTTCTATATTTAAACTGTGAATATTTCCATTCAAAATATTTCACACACGTTTTCATTAATAAAAAATAAATAATCCATATTTACCTTTCAGATTTCACTACCAAAATATTAATTCTGTTTAAAAATACAACCTATAATATTCAACTGGCAATTTTTCGGTCCTTTTTACTTCGCTTTACAAATTCAAGACGATTATAATGTTATTCCCCGATGCTGATGTACAGATAAAACGTAACATCTGATGAAGTAAACATATATTTCTCTCGGTTGTTTAGTTTTTAACTCTATATTTCGGTGATGTGCTGCAGAACTGGTGATTCCCTCGATACATCATTCTCCAGGACTCCCCTGGTCAAGACACTTAACCCTTAATGGACTAATACAGTAATAAAAAAAAGACCAAACTCGCACCTTATTTGGGATGTAGACTATACTAGATATTGGAACAGGCAAGCGGACTATGAATATGAATGTAACGCGCAAAGTTTCACGCTGAGCGATTCAAGTACTGGCGTAAAGTTGGCTTGACACTGCACATTCGTTATTCGCACATTTATGGACCATCTCTGAAGTTACAAACATGATGTGTTGTAACTTTAGAGACGTTACAAACATGATGTGTTGTAATTTTAGAGACGGTCCATAAATTTGCAAATATATCCAGTGTCAAGCCAGCTTTATGCCAGCATTTCACTGGGAATCTCTCAGCATGATACTAGTTCTATAACTATAAAATTCTACATGCACGCTATACATTTATATTCTGAGTCCACTTGCCTTTCAAAGAAAAAACATAAAAAATAATAATTTTATATTACAAATAAATTAACGTTACATCTGCCTGTCTAACTGTAAAGGTCTGGTTTAAAAAATATTTTCAAATTTGCATAACAAACACAGCACATTGACAAAATATGGGGGCATGTTAGCCAATAAAATAAATAAAAATTGGGAAATATCATCAATATCTTCAGTAATTATTTTTTTGCAAAGACAAAAGAAAAACGCTGGTAAATATTTGAACTATATATGACAATAATTAATTGATACACTTTCTAACACAGTCTGTGACCAAAAATAAGAAACACACCAAATACCTTTGGCAAGATTGTTCGGCCACCATCTCTTGACGAGTCACTCTTCACTGACAAATATGTCCCCTTTAAAGGATAAAGAGTGTGTTCAATAAAGATGTGGACTTAAATATTTAATTTTAATAAAAACTTATGTTCTTTGACAAAAAAAAAACAAACAAAAAACAAACAAAAGCTAGCCTAGCCTACATGAACGAACCTTCAATTTATTAAATGTAAATGTCTGGTTTAATAAAATTTTCAATTTCGCATAACAAAAACAACAGCACAAGCTAGAAGAGAAAAGAACCTAAAAGAAACGTACTTTTTTTCCCTCAATAAATTGTTAATACATTTCGTATTAATGTTCATGCTTTACTAGGCTGCCTATAACTTCCGGTGTTCTGACGATTTGTGCTGCCTTGTCGAAAAATGCTACCGTAGTGCGAATCGATCACAGAAAATATTGATTAATATTATATGAAATACAATTATAATACAATTCTAAGTTATTAGTAGCTACTGTATACTGTAGAGTACTGTTTTTATTTTTAAAAGTAAAATTTATCATCAAATATTCTCTTTGACTTGTCAAAGTACATCTTTCTTTACTAACTGAAACTTTCAGTTATTCTTGTTCAGCTGGCTTACCGTACAAATATGCATATGGTAGTTAGCATTTTTAAAAAAGGAAATTACATTATAACACATGCAAATTGACCTTTT